GCTTGCCCCGGCACACCCTGCGTCCTCCTCCACATGCTCCCGTGGCTCGGGCGCCTGGGCCACTGTCTCTCAAGAGTCCCACCTCAATGGACTCAGTCACCCGGACAATCAGCAGCTTTCAGCCTTATGTCCTCTCCTCCCCTGGTAAAAGGATTGTTTCGAAAAGCATCTTTTGAAATGAGGATCCAAGTAGATAGAGAGGGACAGGAGTGCAGTCACACTTGTTCCAATGATAGACAAGTCTTTCGGCTTTGTCTGCTGCACGCTGCTAGCCAAAAGGGCTGCTGTGGGTGTGAGCCTCTCCGTCTTCTGGCCGCTCATGAGAACTAAGTGGCAGAGGAAGCTGCGTGTTGGTTTCCTTGAGAGGCCACCCTGTAGGTAACAGGTGCAGGCTTGTCCTTCCTGCACACACACAAAGCTAAGGCTGACTTTCAGATCCTTGGTAGTCAGAAGTTTGGTAAAATTACACTAGAATAACGTTTGGTGTCCTTGTCATTTTTACAAGGGTTTACAGATATAAACGCAAACTACACATTTTAGGAACAGGAACGCTCTTTTGCCAACTAGCTGAATACCAGGTTCCAGAAGGAACAAAAACAGGAAAAATTTATAGGCAAAGCAATAGTCCAGTTAGAATTGTTGAGATTTTACAATACTATTTTTCAAAACTTCATATCAAGAATCTTATATGGTGCAAGAATGAACTCATCTCCTCCCTCAAAGTGGACAAGTAATATGTATAGGCCAAGTAAGTGACAAAAGGTACAGGGCAAATGACAACTAGTACTCAACCATTTGCTCCCCATGGACACTTCAGTAATAGCACTTGGGCATCGTCTGGGCAGAGAAAGTGTGCCTCATTCAATGTGTAACTGACCCAGGGGTTTGGTTCAGTCTAGATCGGTGCCTCTCAAATTGGCTACACATTGAAATTGCTTGGGAAAGCTTTAAAATCATACCAATGCCCAGGTTCCAATCGCAGACAGTGCGATTTAATTTGGGCAGCAGAATTTTTGAAAGCTTTCAATTATAGTGTGCAGCCATTCCTGAGAACCACTGGCTTGTCATTCCCAAGGACTTCAGACAGATGAAGCTGGTTCTAGCACTTGCCAGAAGGGCTGATTCAGAATTCAGATATAAGCTCAATTTAAAAATTTCAAACTACCAGCATCTTAAAGAAGTTTTTACCCAGGGAGATAGATAGTATGATTTTTAAAATTTCTCCCTTTGGGATAAGACAACCACAAACAACAATGCACATACACACACATACACACCCACAAATGAAGATTTTAAAGACTGCTCACCAGTTGAACACTTGGATCATTCTTCAGTGTATTAGTGGTTAGCTTATACAGGGCACTGTAATCAAAAATCTACCAAATCACTACATACTTTTAAAACATTTTTCTGACTCACTCTTCACTTGGCAATTTCACAAAGCACAGTCTTCTAGGATTTGAGCTATTGTGAATGGGATCATCTCTTCCCAAATGAATGGCAGTTTAAATTCATATGGCATAAGAATTTATTCCATTAATCCAACTCGACAATTTGTTTCCTATAGCAAAGAAAAGTCAATTCTCTAGCTTGTGTTTTGCATTTTTGCATATGACTTTGGTTTGGTGAGACACAGACAATTATGTGTACTGAAATCTCCTATAATATAGGCAGCACACTATGGGTGTTTAAAAATAAGACATCATATTTTTAGCTTCAGACAGGACCACGTAGGGAAGAGTTGTCTAACTTCCCTGGATGATTGGCTATATTGATGACACTTCTCTGAAGTAGCTTTAAGAATTAGGGCTGGTAAAGGTTTGAGGATACCAACCAAGTCCAGCTTCTTGCCACAAAAAGGTCAATCCTTTACCAGGTGACAGAAATTCCTGTTGATTCTTAATTAACAATTAGCAGAAATGGAATTCCAGATTCCCTTATAGCAAGCACTAGCTTTTAGAAACTCTTGTAATCAGGAATTCCTCTTTATATTTGATTTAATATATTCAAACTGATCAGTAGTGAATATCATGGGGGGATCTTCAGGGTGGTTTGTCTTGTTTTCATTTCAAACAAAGGAAGGTTAGGTTTAGTATACCTTATTAATTTCTGTAATCTGAGTATTGCCATCAATACTTTAGGCAGTTAAAAAAGCTTTATGCCCCCTCTTAGAATTTTAAAACTGAAAACACAGAGAAGTGATATACATAATAATTATGAAAATGCTATTGGTATTATTTATGTAAAATGATTATTGACAAACACAGAATACTGCCATGAACACACTAACTATTCATATATCAAGAAGCCTGAAAAAATTACTGTGAAATAGGTGTGAAATTTTTTTTTTACTTCAGGAGTCTCTGAAGGGCATATCACAAAAATCAATGGTATGATCAGCTCATGAATGTGTTGGCATCTGCCCCATCATACCAACAGTAGCCTCTTCTAATAGTTCCAATTCGTGACTTGTGAGGGAAGCTTCATGGAGCCTAAGATAAAGGACGGTTGTAGCGTCACCCACCTGAGAACAAGGCTGTGGTCTCATTACTCACTATACACTCAACTATGCCATGGTAGGTTCCTATCTTATTGACATCATTAATCCCAAATTCAAAGAGAATTCAAATATCGCACTTTAAAAAAATACGTTATATTATGTATTCTACAAATGTAGAATCATGGATTTTGAAGTTTATGTTAAGCCCTAAAAGGCCTAGAACTGTCCTAGGAAACAAGGCACAAAGGGGTTTCTACAGAATTTCCAGAGGCCTGCAGAACATACCTACTGCAGAATCATGGCACTGTCATAATCTTCTTGTTCAATTTTATTGCCTGATGAAATGTCTCATGGTCGGAGAAGCAACCCAATGAATGGGCGTAAGTTGAAACAGAGGCACTCTGAAGGAACCCTAATTAAAAGGCTGTCATTCCTTAGGCAGGTAAATTGAAGTAGAAACGAGAACATCAGTTCTTTACTTCTTACAACAAAATTGAGCCCATTTCTTACACCTACACTTTATCATGCATTATCTTGTTAATACCAATATTTTTATTCAAATAATATTTAAAAGCTATATGTTATTCTTTCAAATACTTGAAAATATATTCTAAAGCCACTGGCAATGTGTATCATGGTTTATGTCCTTCCTCTCCTTAATGCTCTATGAAGGGACATTAAGGAAGTCATTCATGAGCAGGTTAAATAACACACAAGAGAATGATAAATCACATTATTTACACTGATAAAAAGAAAATACTGGAGTTACTCTAAATGTCTCATAATTAGGAAATGGAATACCCAGAAGAGATAAAAACTAAGTTTTTGAGAGAAGTTTTCAAATCTGGTAACATACTCATGACATATGGTTATGTCCAAAAAAAGAAGGCTAAAAAGATGTATATATGGTTTGATTTCAATTTTATTTTAAAGCTGCTTAGGAGAAAAGCAAGAAGAAAACATGTTCTTGTATGTTTCCACATTTATTAATATGGACCTGTATTACCTTTGCAGTCAGGATAAATTCATCTAATTTTAATATAAAAGCTGGAAGTATATAAAAATGTTAGTAGTGGTATTCTTTAACCGATGAGATTATAGGTGATGATTTTTAAAATACATTCCCCAATTTTTTCTTTCATAGACAGTACGTTTAACTTTCATAGTAAGAAAAATACACTGCTAGTGAGTAATGTACTTAATGCTGTATCTTAATTCTTTGCTCTTTAGGTACCACTGGCAGTGAATTCTCGGAACACATTTCCAAATGTACTTATTAAAGTCTTAAGTGCAAAACACTAATGCTTCATCTTAAGAGACTTTTGGTGATTTGCTGGGAATTCTAATGAAAACTTTTATCGGGAGAAAGTTGAAACTACTGAGTTAAACAGATTTGCCAAATGATCTATGTGTTGGTGCTGAAGTCCTTTTCCATAAAGGACCATACGTACCATAAAGGACTTATCTTATGCAGGAAGTCTTGGTGACACAGTCACAACACACAACTGAATTTGGGTGGTACCAGCAATACGGAATATGGAATCCCTGTATTCTAACGGAATCATTCTAATTATTTTGCATGGTAGGTAATGAATCGACATCAGGACTATACCTGTATTTTTTCCTGACTTGTTTCTTCTGGTTTTGATGTTCTTACCTTTGAATAGAGCTCAACAAAGCAAGGAGGAGTTCATTTCTATATGAGCAGAAGAGTATAAATCCTCCTTTGACTTTTTTTCCCCATGTCAGAATATAAAAGACAACCAGTTCTTCTCAAATCACACTATTACTTTGTTTCATTCTAAATCAGTCATGAGCTGTTGAATGTGCCTCAACTTTAAAACGTCACAGTTCGCTCTGCAGCTTCATCCTGCTAATAGTATCGCGTGTTATGCTCTCGCCAAACTTGACAGTAATTTTATTTACATACTATAGATTATTTAACGTGAGAATTCAAATTGGAGAAGTGAGGAAGAAGGCAATATATGCATATGTACTATAAAAATCGTCGATTATAGATGAGCACATTTGACTTACCTGTAAAAACATTGTACAAGGAAGGACCAGTAAAAGTAGCATTTTTCATGACAGACTCAAAAATGGATGCGGTAAAAGAATGCTTTGCTATTGCCAAAATAAGCAAAAGACCTCTTTGTTTCTACTAGCAAGTGCTGACACACAATTCTAAGTATGATGCCTGTTAAACAACATTTAAACAGGTACTTTATAAAACCAAGAATCATTTTAAATATATAAATTACATAAGGAAAGCATGTCAAGGTATCAACCTGAATGCACTGCTTCAGAGTCACCAAATAACATTAAAAATGTAATGTCACTGTCCCAGTTCAGTTGCCATAATTATTGTCCCCTTAGGTTGTCTCCTTATGTTCTCCTTAAACATTCTTTCTTTTATTACAAATACTTTCAGTGAGAGTGATAACCCTAAAATAAAATTAACATAGCCAGAGCAAAGATAAATAAAATTTAAAAAGCCAACCTTTATTCCACTTTGAACAAGTTTGTGAATGTCCAAATAAGGCTCCTTGAAAATTTCTCCTTCAGGGGTAAGTATCTTCACGTAACCTTCTTTTTCCAGAATGAAGAGACGGTGCGAGCCATCCCCACTATGCAGGGCGCCGACAGGCTGGCGCAGCCCACTCACAACCTCCTGAATACAGAAGCAGTTGTGTTTGTGCTTTCTAAACAAATTAAAGAAAACCAGTAAGCTTTTCTTGAGGTGAAGGAGGTAAAGGATGCACTTAGCATCCTTTTCAAAATATATTTCCTCTAGGAATCAATGGTTTTGAGAACCATGATGTGCCGTTAACCCCAAAGTCACAATATGATTCTTTTAAATTCTTTTCAGTGGAACAAATAGCCTTCTACCAAAAAGTCAAAGAGAGAATCAAAATAAGAGTTTCACATATTTTAAAATTTCATAAGTTCATCATCTTATCTTTCAGTGACTATAATTAAAATTAGCTCTACTCACAATAATTAAGCCTTACAGAAAGGCCCTCAGAGAGAAAGTTCTAAGATCTATTTATAAAACTCTGATTTGCTAATAATAATTGTGCTGAATATTTCCATATGCTAACAACACTCATAAAGGTCAAGTTTAAAACTATAATCATGAAATTCACATGAATCACAGAGAAGCCAAACTCATAATAAAAGATTAGTAGTCTAAGCATTAAAAGCATTTAAGCAAAAAGGATATTAGAGAAGCAAACTACCAAAAAGAAAAAAAAAAAAATCTGGAGGATATAGCTGCTGGAATCCAGCACAGACAGTTGATTCACTATCAAAACCACAAGATTTGTCAGTTGGCTTTTTGTTTTTGTTTTTGTTTTTTAAGATTAAAGAGCATTTATCTTTATGAACCTGCTGATCTCTTCCACTTTGTCATATTCTTCCATCTGGTCCAAGTAGTTAGATGCTGGTCCTCTGATTTGTTTTCTTGGAAAATCTGGAAAGCACAACCCACCATCTTTTCTTGCATAGTAAAAACAAAACTCTTCAGCAGTAGTTTGAAGGAAACCTTTAAAGAAATGCAAAAAGACTCATTAGAAATATTTAGCATCACAGTAAAAACACCCTATTTGGAAGATAAAATATAGGAAAAAATTTTTTTAGAAAGTATATGAATATAAGGGGCGCCTGGGTGGCTCAGTTGGTTAAGCGACTGCCTTCGGCTCAGGTCATGATCCTGGAGTCCCGGGACCGAGTCCCGCATGGGGCTCCCTGCTCAGCGGGGGGTCTGCTTCTCCCTCTGACCCTCCCCCATCTCATGCTCTCTCTCTCTCTCTCTCATTCTCTCTATCAAATAAATAAATAAAATCTTTAAAAAAAAAAAAGAAAGTATATGAATATTCTAGGAAAATAATAAAAGGAAAGAAGGCCACTTTTTTTGGCTTGGGATTTCCATTTCTTTAACCAAAATTTAAGAATTTCAGTTCAAGTGAAATAATATTGCATTGGATATTTTAAAAGACTCATAAGAAATACACATAATACACTTCCAGAATTAATCTTGCTATTGCCCTGACTCTGTTTGCAAGCTTCCTCATTTACCATATGTTGTACTTGTAGTTTATCCCATCACTAATTCAGCACTTTTCCCCCCTACCGTAATAAATAACTTCCTAAGAAGAACACACTAGAATCAAAAAAGAGATAGGCCATCAGGTACTTATTTGGGTCATTTTACAATTCTTTTTCTATTGCCACTCACATGTGATTAAATAATAAATCTAATGAATATCACAAGGTCCTTATATGCTGTAATAAATGACTGACTGGCTGCAATGGTGCTAAGAACAGAGCCTCCATTTTCAAATAAGTATGAACCTTTTTCCTGCACCTCACTTATAGAAAATAATGATTATTTTGTCATACAAGAACTATATTTAAAATATCCCTTCAGTCTGCTCAATCAGAAAGCTGGTATGCCACCCTCACTGAAAAAAAAAAAAGTCAAAACAAAAATGCAAAACAGATTTACTTAAAGAGATCTGGAAGAGGTTTTCTCTTTTTTTACCTACTGAGAATTTTTATCAAATAAAAACAGCTATATTTACTAAAAGAGAGGAGGACCTTATGACAAAAAAAGAATTTTGACATTATTTTCACAATTTGAGTTAATAAGGTATTTTTTTGAGGGGGGGAAGGCATATTCCTAAGACTGCTTCCATATTCTGATTATTTCTGCTCTCAAAATCTGATACTGCTACCAGAGTCAACCTTACATGATGTCCTGACTTCCTGCTGCAGGTCTCATATCTTTGACTATGCACACTGTTTTGAATTTTACCTAACAAATTAGATTAGTGTACACATAACAGCTTTGTGATAAAGACACCTCGTAACTTGTTTGATGTTTAGAAGTTGTATAATGGATTCAGGTTTGCAAGGATTTCTAAGAACAAGAATTGGGGACGACCCAGTGAGACTTATCAGTGGAATATGAAAGACTAAGTCTGTTTTCTATGAGCTTGACTTAGGTCCCCTCAAACCTAAAACCAATCTTAGAATTCTGAGGGTCTTGATGTACAATTTGACCTAACTTTTGGATAAAATGTATCACCCCTAAATTTCTGAGACAGACTCTTCAAGGCCAGTATGTGTCTAGGCTATTGGGAAACATCTTCTCCTTGGAAATCAGGCAAGTGAGAGCAAATGTCCTTGGGAGTGTGTGTGTGTAGGGGTGGGGGTAGGGGTGAGACTGAAAGGAGGCATGGCAGCTGGGAAGGGTGCTCCATGGGAGGGACAAGGCAGCTGGAAGGAGGTTATCTTTCTTTGAAAAAATTCAGGGATTAGAAATTGGGGAGAGGAATGAAGGCTGCAGTAGCATTTACTCTTCTTCAGCGATTCACTGTCTACAAAAGATAACTTTTCTCCTCCATTCTTTCCTGGCTAAGCATATAGATGAAAACTGCCCAGTATTGTCGAACAAGTCTGTTTGATGTAAAAAGAAGAAAAGGAAAACTGCATTGCTAAATCAAACTTTTTGCAGTTTTGGGTTAGACCTTTTTTGGGGGACACACACACACACACACACACACATACACACAGCTCCCAGCAGGCAGCAAGATCTCCATGCCAATATTATGCATGCAGGAATACTGTCATACTACAGATATATTTATAACTGAATGTGTAAATGAGAAACTTTGTTTTAACATGATTTTTGCCTGCAGGATCACAAAAAATTTTCAAAGTGCAACTGAGAAGAAATTTCAAGTTTGCTTTTTAAAAAATATCTGCATTCCAGGATTACAGTCTATAAAACTAATACCATCTTAAGAGAAAATTAACAAACAATGCTGATGGCTGATTCCATTTTACAAAGAGTTATTGGCTGGGGACAAATGTGGAAGTGACAAATCATTTTCAAATGGAACATCTGAAGATTAAAGAGTACAGATTTATAAGCTCTATGGCTCCAGAGGTGTTCTCTTAGCCAAATTAAAACAAAAACAAAAATGGAATTAACAATGAATTACTCCTAGCTTTTTACAGAATCTAAGCAAACTGAGTAAGTGTGAAGGAGGGAGCCAACTCAGAAGACTTTTACATAAAAATATGGGCATTTTTCTCATAATTACAATATTTGTCACATGTTACAATCACATATTACAACATTTGAATTGCAACATCTAATACTTTCATTAATACTTTACCTTAAATGATCTGATTTTGTGGACAGTGATGAATAAGATAGATTTTGCTGTGAAGAGCTAAAAGGGACCTGGTTTCAGGACACTGGTCTTACATTTATTGCCATGGAAGACATAATTTACCAGATGGTACCCTTCTACTATTTGGAACAATACCCTGAAGAGCATTTTACTGAAGGTGGGTGTTTAGTTCACCCTGGATCATCACAGTATGATCAAGTCTACTGATGATGGGAATACATGGATTATTCCAGCAGCTGCTTTTTAAAAATTCCTTATAATTTATTAAATATCCTGGACCTGTAACTATTCTCCTGGATCCTGGTGAATCCAGTCCTACTATACCACAAAGCACCCCCTAACATACTGATGTAAATAAATATCCTCTGTGGAATATTCTAAGCTCTAGCTTTTCTCTTGGCATGTATGCTAGAGAAAAGTTACTTTTCCTCATTATACATGCTGTTTATCATGATAAGGAAAAAACAAAACAAAACAAAACTCACTCAGTAGGGCCTGCACTTGACAGCATTTTCTAATAGAGGTAGTGGATTTTGATGTATCCATCTATTCCGTCTGGTTTGCTCTCCTGGGGACTAATAAGCCCCATGGGTAAGATATCTGACTGGGGTCAGGAGTGGCTGTGGACTAGAGAGCCTCAGTGGAATCAAACCCTTGACCTTGGCCTCATTAGCAACAGGATTAAACCAATTGAACTAATTGTATACAGACATTTTGCACTAAATAACCCATAGCTGAAAGAGAGGACGGTCTAAGAGTGAGAAAAAGTATATCATGATACTCGTGGTAACAAGTGTAAAGGAAGAAGCAAGGCCAATACATGTCCGTTTCTACCCTTTCCACAGAGTGTACTATATGCCATCATTGAGTGAACGGCAAAACTTCTACTCTGCTCATTGTACTGCAGGCAGAAAAAAGGGCCGCTGGTGGGAGCAAGGAGCTCCTGTGTGCATGCGTGGGTTTTTTTTTTTTTTTTTCCAAATGTAATTTTGCTATTCTTAGAAGTTTTAAGAATTTACTTCCTTAAGTCAATTCACACTGGGGAATATTATGATTAATAAAACACTAGTGTACCCTCACTACTGATTTTTAACTTTTCTTAAGTTTTGAAAAGAGGCAGACCATGAATATTTCTGAATACAAGATTCTAAAATGCAGTTATCGTCCAGATGTGCATGGATTCCCAAGTAACTGGTGCTTTCTTAAAGTCATGAAGGTGAAGCAAAGGGATAGAGCATTTATATGTTTATTTCTTGACCTACTGGGCAATGGGGGGAAAATGAAGATGCCTCTGAGATCTTTTTTTTCCTCTCTCAACCCCTTTCAGCATTTGCCCTAGCAGTGGATTTTCAAGTTTTTGACGTGCAGAAAGATGAGGCTATTAATATTAGAGGATCATCAAATACATTGACTTCTTACAAGAAAGAATCACAAAGTATCTGTTTTCCACAGTTCTGAACTCTAGAGGAAAGTAAGCCATGTCATGCCATAGATTTAAGAAGGTGAAAATATTAAAAATTTGCTTTGAGGGCGATTTCTGAAAAAGAAGTGTTCCAGAATTGTGAAGAGCCTTCTGTGTTGGGCAGGGGCTGAGGGGCGGGATTACCATCTTATCTATCATACTTTAGAAAATGGTCAACTGTGTGCCAACGATCAGTCTGGAAACAAACCGATTAACATAAATTAACACAAAGAGTGTGTTATTACAACTCACTTTTGGGACAAGTCTTTAGAATGATTATTAGCATTTGACGGATGCAGGGGAAGTCCCCTCTGCTTGTTGCTAGAGCCTATAGCCTGTCCCTGGAAAGCACCCTTGCTGCTCTATCCACCATTGGAGTGGAGCTTTCATCTGGTTATCTTTCAAGGCAGCCTGGGTGGTCACCAAAAGCACTTGACATCTTGATGCTCTTCAGCAGTTTTACATATATACAAACTTTGTAGAAAAATAAATTTGTCATTCGTCACCACATATGTTGATCTGGGGAGCGAGGTGCTTGCAGTTCTGGCTCCTGAGCTATTTGCTGCACTCTCTCTCTTTTGCTGGATACTGCTTTCTGTTGTTTGTTTTGGAAGCTAAAATAACTTCACATCTATGGAGACCTTAGGGGTGAGTCCTTAAATCCAGCACAGTTGTGTTTCTCTCAGGTAGGTAAAGGTGGACGAAAATGGTAAGTGCCCATATTACTTTCAATTTATATTGGTAAAGGCAACCCTTCAAGACTTGAAATTTGCAGCAAACCTTTATGGTACCTAATCTGTTATTGCTTCTCAGGAGGACATCTGGGCACCCGTGACCTATTCTGCTCTGCTTTGGGGAATGTGATAAAGAGGAACAAACAGCTGGTTCAAGAAAAGCCTTACAAACATGGTGGTAGTTTATAAAGACAATAATAATATTTTTGCTCAAATGGGTTTAGATACATGTTCTGGCACACCAAAGGAAGCAAGCAATCCTAGTCAAAATGTTTTCTTAGGTTATTAAGAGAGCTCTATAAAAAAATAAGAAATGTACACTTTTCTGGGTCAGAGAAAAATGTAAAATATGTATGGCAGTTAAAAAAATTCTCCAAGCACATCCTACAGTTCTTAAAACTTGTCTTTTCCTTCAATGCCATTTAGCTTTATAAACTGTTAGCTTCAGTAGATTTGCTTGTGTGTGACTCTGCCTAATTGAACAATCTGTCTCGTTAAATTCTTTTGTATCTCTATGTTGATTCTTCCAACTAAAGCAACAACAACCAAAGTTTACAAATTTTTGATGGTAAAAGTAATCAAGGTCCAAGAATCTATGTGTTTATTAGGGTCCAAAATATGGTAGTGAGCAGGTATTATTTGTGACACTGTCAGCCTCTGAACTTCTACATCTGTCCTATCACTTCCTGGCCACACAACTTTGGTTGAGGCATTTAACTTCTCTGGAGGCTCGGTTATCCTCATTGGTCAAATGGGGATGATTCCACTTTTCCTTCCTGCAGCACAGAGTTTTTGAGGAGCAAATTAGTCATTATATGTAAAGATACTCTGTAAGGTGTTACTTTTTTGGATTTCTAAGGATAAGGAAATAAGACCTTAAGAGTCCGTGGGCAATCAGCACTTTGGTATCAGCTAGGTAGAAAAGGAGGCTGTCTTGGTATCAATGCTGATGGATGAAGAAGACACCAACGAGAAACCTGTACTGATAATCCAATGTGTGTAAAGACTACCAACTGTATTATCGATTTAGCAAATGTAAAACATCTCAACAAAACCAACATACTGTTTGTAGACTGAAATGACAGTAAGCCTTTTAGCAGCAATTTTGAAAGGTTACAAATTTGTAAAGGTTAACTGTGAGGTAAAAATAGGTATTTGGGAAGGTGACATTAAACTTGACCCTCTCAGAAGCGAACATTTAAGAACAGGTATCTTGTAAGGATATTCTGCAGTAGTTTATTTAATTTATCCATTTTTTTTTTTTTTTTACCTGGAATATGGCCTCGGCAAGTATAAAAGAATTCTTTGCAATAGTCTTTGCAGAGCAGGGGAAGTACAAGGTCTCTTTCCAAGGCTTCTCTTTCAGGTGAGTGGAACAGGCTCTGGGAATGTGGAGAGCATAGCGCACATTTGATTTCCTCCAGTAACTTCCCACATTCTGTGTTGTTGGTAACAGAAAATATCTGAAAGCCATAAATCAGACACAAACTTCTTTTTAGTCATGTGAAGTTAGGTTTAGTTATGTTTTTTGTACTCCTATACATAGAATTGTGTAATTTAGCCAATGCGGTTGTCTGAAAAGAATTACCATGTTACAAATACAGAATGCTTTTAATTAGGATGTAAGTAGAGTCTCTTGGGCTGGGCTGGGGGACCAGAGGGTAAGGATTCACAAAAGTGCTTCTTAGTCTTGCAAACCAAAGTCTGTTTATCTTTTGGGTATGAAAAATTAAATGATGATTGTATTGAGACCCTTTAACTCTTTATCATTTTACTCTGTATCAAAGTGTATAGTGACTGATATTTACCTTTAAAACTCCAAATACCTTTATCCAACTGTATGTAAAGCAGAATTTTTTAAGATATGGTTATTTGTGTCTTAGGTAAAAATGTAGTTCACTCCTGATATTCCTTAATACGATATTCTCAGGGATATTCCTGGAATTACATTTCTCTAATTTCAGTTAATTTTCAATCTACGGATTGCATAGGGAAAGTTTCCTAAAGTGGGGGAAATACCTCCTTTTTATTTTGTACAAAAATAATATCTGAAGCTGAACTGGTTTAAGACCAATTTTTATTATTCATTTTATCTTAGCCAGGAAAAACTTTCTAACTAGCTCTTCAGGTATGTTATATGCATGAATAAACACAGGAGTTTAATAAAAGTGCTTTTGTATAGGATTTAGTGAGTTTTAGTAAAAAAAAGGAATACTTTTTTCTTTATTTATACAGTATTATGCCTTTTATTTCAGTAAGACCAATTCGGGAGTTACTGATTCACTGAGGTTAGTAATTTGTTGATAAAAGAGGTCTTGGTGTCTAGTACTAACTTTAAAAAAACTGACTTCAGGAGCTCCTCTAATAAATATGGAAGACAATACCAGCCAATATTTGAGACATGAAATGTAGTGCTGTCTAAATTAAGCATTGATTTTTCATAATAAAAAACACCATAATGGGAATGAATTTCATACCTTTTCTGTTTATATAACTACATTTATACCTAGTTATTTCTTTAGAACTATGAACTGAAATTAACATCTGAAACTTCAGATCATTGTTTTAAAGCAAATACTTCATTCACAAGGAGGTTCATATTTGAGTAAATGGTCTGGCTTCTATTTTTTAGGATAAGGATATTCTAGGTAATCACAAAATTTGGATCTGAAAGAACAAAGCAACTAAAAAGTATCATTGAATACAAGCATGCTAAAATTTTGGCATGCAGTAATTAAAAGTTCCATAGAAGTTACCCTATTTCAAAATAAATAAATATATATATATGCGTGATGTGTTGTAACTATCTACAACATCCAGAAGAGTTATTATTAATCACAATTATATTTACATTTTGATTTTTATCAATTTATTTAAATGACAATTGCTTAAATGGTTAAAGTTTTCTAAAAGGAAACATATGCCAGACACTTAGAATTTGCATTCCAAGAATGTTTTAAATGTCTTTTATTGTCCATACTCTGGCAGACCTCGCCGGATCTATTCAATATTAATACTGTTCAACTTTGTTCTGTTTGCTTATCGTATAGCAGTCCTCTAAGAACAAAACAACTGCAGGATGCTGAAGCCACGTTTTTTTGCTGGCTGAGAAACTGGAATGTAATTACCTTTAGTTTTATGGAGAATATACATGCTTCCATTTTTTATAGCTAAAACAAAATGATCCCCATATACTCTCCCAGCTGCTGTCCAGGAAGAGCTTGATTTTAGTGCCTAAAGAATTTTGTCTTTTACAATTTTTGGAATGTGTCCTGGCCACAAGATCTCTCATCAAAAGTTTCAGAAATAGGATTCAATAAATTATCTGAAATCGAGTACAATATTATTCTTTGTAAAGTTTCATGCTGTTCCGGCCCAGCAGGATGGTAACATTTTGCTCTGTGTGAGGTCTGCAGTGTAAATACCTATTTGAAGATAGATAGAGCCATCATTCTGGCTTTGGTTTCAATGAACCAATAGTCTTACTGAAGTCAATTAAACTGACTCAGCCCAAGCTGCAACACTGTTTTAGACAGATGAGTCCTGGTGTGTGTAGTGTAGTTTTTCTTCTTTTTTTGCCTATGTGCTTGCGTCGATAAAGGTCCTTAACTTTATGTCTGACAATGTCATCAATCTTAAGAAGAAATTTAAGCTAATTTCCTGTTTCGATTTTTAAAAGCCATATATGAAACCATCAAATTATAGTGGTTTAAACTAAATATACTTTGAAAGTCATGTAAAACTTCGAAACATTATTACAGCATGCCTAGTAATGATTGTGGCTGTTGCTGACTAATTTATAACATCTGGCAGGTCATCCTTTAATCTTAAGCCACAAGAAAGTAAAATCCATAGAAGAAAGGTAAGATAAATACTGGAATACACAGTGAAGTGTGGCCTACAACTATAGCTTATCAACAAATAGTAAAATGGGTGACAGAGACCTTCTGTATTTCTCTTTATTTATCAAGTAACTGAACAAAGAGGATAAAAAGGCACCCACATGGGTTCAATGAGCAGACAAAAGGAGAAAATACGTGACAGTATATTAAGATGTCGCCTTAAGATCACTTGGTCCACAAAAAGTTATTTCTAAAAATCATATGCCTACAAGGTTGTTCAGCTGTTGGCTAGAACACATGCGTCTCTGGACTATAGTGCTGGATTATGTCATTAAAGAGTTCAGTTTCAATTTTAGGCTAATATGTAAATAGATCATTGTACTAAGGCAGCTGTTAAAGGGACCCCAGGATGAGTTATTTGTTTAGTTGGATGTGTTCAACAATAGCCTTTGTCCCTGAAAGAGCCAGAGCAAACAAATGATTGTAAAAGGGCACACTTGAAAACAATTACTTTTCACCCATTCCTTGACAGCTTTGGCTGTGAAACCACCCAAGGTAGAGAGAGCTTCTATGCCTCTCTGGCTACAAGTTAAGTTTTAGAAATGGGGGTATTTCAGTTGGCTGCGGATTCAATTTGGCTAATGGGAATTAGATCCTTTTAGCATGTTGTATTTAGGAGCTGCAAAAATATTGCCAAGACAATATAACTTCCTAAATTTTGGCAGCATTTATTTATAATGGTAGTTAATAATCTCGTTACAATACATAAAATTACTAAAATATACCAAAAAATTAAAATATAAAAGCATGATACCATAGCTGAAGGATTGAACTCAATGCTAGCTCATTATATTAAAGAAAATGTGTTCGCTTGGAAACTGGATTTAATTGCACAGTTGAGCATGCTCAATATTCCTACCCAGTGTGCTACTATCTATGAAGTTTCTTCCTATAGGAGAAAGCTATGCCTGTAGTTTCTTGAAAAGTTGCAGAAATGCTTCTTGGGATTTTTTTTTTTTTTTCATAAACAAAAACGGGTCCTTTCAAATAGCCATTATCTCTCCTGTACACACATTATGAAATAAGACCCTAACATATATTATAAGCCAGAAAGGCTTAGGGGAAAACAGGGAAACACGGAAGTTTATTATAAAATAACATGTTTTAAAAACTATTAAAACGTGAGAACTAACATAGGTCAAGCATGCACATGCACAGCTATATCACTACTCTGTTTTGAACAATTTGAGTATTGTTGGTTTTTTATAAAGCACTTGTAATGGAACCAGCAAAGTCTAGTGTACCAAATTTAATTCAGACACATTTTCCAAATGAGTAGGGGTTTGTTGGAGATTGGAAGCACGTAAAACGGAAAGGAATGTGGATAGCTAACGTGGCAGATTTCTTCCTAAAGAATGATTTCTTAAAAAAAAATTTATATAACTCCTCTTAGGGGTTATAACTCCCCTCAGTTCCTCCCCCAACCCCTCCAACTCCCCACTATATTTAGTTAACAAAGTTTTCATTCCTCATGTTCCTGGAAGAGTTCAGTATTGCAGGGGTCTGCAGATCATTGGTATATTCATAGTGCACACTGCACACAGGGATACTTAATGGCAAATATTTCTAAACACTTCTATGAATTTCCTGGTTCTTTTGGGCTCCTGGTAAAACCCTGCTGATGATGTGAATGTAGCTTTTTTTTTTTTTTTTTTGTAATTTAATTCAATTACCATACAGGAGCTTAATGACATTGTTTTGAATAAAATGCTGGAATATCTGTTCCCTGAATCTCAGACTACTGCTGCATATGGTAAGAATAAAGAGAGAGTTGCAGCTGAAAACCTGCAGCAAGACAGTTCTCACTCATCTGGGAATAGAGGGAGTTGGACAAATGCTCCCTCAAAAGGCATGAACATTTGGACAGAGCTGGGGACTGAAAGAGAATGATGTTCTCTAGTTTCACCCATTAGTGAACCAACTAACAAACACAATGGTGTTGTTGTTATTCTTTTGCCATAAGCAACAGGACTCTGTGTGTGGGCAGCAGTTTAGTGGGGAGGAGGATAAGTCGACCCCTTTTTGTCCTATTGATTTTTTCCTATTTGCATGACTTGAGCAAATTAAATGATGCAATATGGCTTTTTGTTACAAAACAAAGTGAGAGATACCACCCAGACACATATGTTGATTCGTAGGAGCTGTTTACATGAGAATAGAGTGAAATCTACCGTGAACTGAGCATAAAAATTAGATTCAGCCTGGGTATTTTTTTTTTTTTTAATGCCTGGGCCAGCAAGACTGAAGCACAAGTTTTCCAAGAGTCTCTCAGACCTTGACAACTGCACTGTTGTAACAGAGGAATTCTTAATTAAACCTAAAATGGGGAAAGCGAGGGGGGGAGCAAAGACACCTGATTGTTTATTTCACGTGCAGGGATTGTTAATGACGTGCTCCCCGGGCTTCCTTGCAGTACAGTAGAGAGCACACGTTGCTGCATCCCATGACAAGAAAGATGTTGCAAACTCAAAAATAAGCTTGCCTTTACACTCCACCAACACTATTTCATATTTGTTTAGATTTAAGAACACAAGGAAAGTGTAAATGCCATTACTCCTCAAACCAATTTCCAGAGAGGATCTTCCTAGACGGCTGCCTTTGAAAGCCCGAATTTATAATGTTTCAAAACATTACAAACTGAGGCGGAGAGAAGAGTCTCAGTTTTATGTGACAAATATGCCCCAGCAAAATCTTCCGCCCGTCCTTCGGGTTCTCAATCGGAGTACCAGGAGTTCCTTGTCGCAGCTTAACTATTGTAATGCGAGACAACCCCCTCTGACGGGGCTGGGGCTCCTAAACCAACCATGCTTCAACATCCTTTACGATTCAATCCTCTCCCTAACCGAGCACGTGGAGAAAACTGCACAAATCTTGTTACCCTAGAAAAATAAACCGGAAACCACAGCCACCTTAATTTACAGTTTCACCGCAGCCAATGCCCGATTCGATCCAAAACACACTGTTAATCGCGATTCTTTTAAAATATTTACCCAGCCCAGAATGCGGGTACCACAGAAGCTTCTCTTTTTTGAGACAGGCAGTTTTGCACAGCATCCCGACCGCGGACTCTTGGGGGCGGGAGAGCTATCTGCGCACCCCAGAGAAACACCACAACCGAATCACACTAGCACTTCAGGAAAGTTATCAGAAAGAACTCTCCAAACAAGTTTCGCCCTTTTCACAGCCACCAGCATTTCTGGAGCCACGAGGAACCCCCACCTCGCCAGTACGTCAATCGGGCATCCGTGAGGCGGGTGCGTGCTTACCTTGTTTTCCAGGCGCCCCAACCCTGGGCTGTCACTCCGCAGGCAGCAGGACAGCCGAGGGTAGAAGCCACCGCACAGCATCTCTCCCCCACTCAGCAGCTCCAGCTGGGACATCATCCGCCTATCTCTCCTTTTCAGGCGCTTCGGGGGGTTCCCATTTAGGCACCTTCTCCTCCTCGCTCCGCTCCCTTCGCTTCTTTCCCCAAACTTAGCATCTCCTTCAAAGAAGCCCAGAGCCACGGCCAGCAGCAGCAGCTTAAAGGAGAGCATCTTCAGCATCGTCTGCCCCGAGCGGCAGGGGCTCGGCGCGGGAGGATGGGGGGGAACGCCACTGCCCAGCAGGGGCACTAGGGCGCAGCTCCAGGAGGAGGCTGCGGGGGACACTCGAGAGGCAGAGAGTGGTGGCGGGGGCGAAACTATGTAGAGCGATGCAACTTTGCAAAAAATAAAAGACAAGGCGATGGGTCCAATGCCTTAGGGGAGTCCGAGGAGCAAGATAAAGTTGTGCGGATGACACCGTTTGCAGTTGTGCCAGTGTCAGTTGGGTTAGGGGCTTCCTGCTGCGGCTGGGAAGTGGGAGGAGGAGAAGGAGTTGGAAAAGGAGGAGGAAGAAGAGGAGGAGAAGACGGCCACAGAGGTTCACTTGTCCGTGTAACGGGAGTTGTTTAGGTGAGACAGTAGCAGGAACAGAAACGGCGGCGGCGGCGGCGGCGGGGCAGGCGCAGGCAGGGCCAGCGCTGGGCTCTAGATGATGCTGAGGTCTCCTCTGCCGGCGGCTGCAGCTTCTCACACAGCCTCTCATGTTTCGCTCCCTCTTTTCTTCTTCTTTTTAACTAGCGCGCGGGGAGGTGCTGCCACCGCGCGCCCCTTGACGTCACCGCTCCTCGCGCGCCCCCGCCCGGACCCGGCCGGGCCGGGGCGGGGGCGGGGCGGGGAGGGGGCGGCCCCGGCGCGAGCCCGTCCCCCGGGCCCGACGGCCTCGCGGCTGCGGCGGGGAGGAGCCGCGGGCCGCGGCGGCGGGCGGAGGGGGAGGGCCCGGTGGAGCCCTTGGAGCCGGCGTCGAGGGCGCGGGACCGAGCGCGCTTGCCTCCCCGAGGCGCGCGGCTGGGGGGCGTCCAAGGCCCTGGTCCTCCGGCCCGCTGGCCCGGGGCGAGGGCGCGGCACGGAGATTGCTCGCTGGCTCCTCTCTCCTCCCCTCAGCCCCTCCGCACTACCCCTGGGTAAAGGCGGCCAAGCCGAGGCTCGGAGAGCAAGTGAGTAAAAGTGGGCCGCTGGAGGTGAGAAAGGGAGGGGCCCCTTCCAGGGCCTCCCCCCCACCCCCGGCCCGCCCCTCGCCCCGGGCGGGGGCAGGATGCACCGAGTGGGCTGGAGTTGGCGGGAGGGAGGTTTTCGGTCCCTTTCCCGTCTCCTGGCCGCACGGACTCCCCCTGTTCCCCGGTGATTTTCAACGTGAAGCTCGAGTCGGTAAAGCTCTTCCTTGGGGTCTGATTTAGAGGCGGGGGGACAACCCAAATGCTGCGAGCCGCTGAGTAGGTTAAGACGGTTTGAAGACTGAGAAGTACCCATCCTTGCTTAAGGTGCTCCGCGCTCCTGAAGTGGCACAGTCGCGTGTGCATGCGTGGGCTGGGGTGTCGGGGCCCCCAGCCTGGAGGGCTGGCCCGGGACGCCCCTTCCTAGGGACCCACCTGTGCCCTGGAACTCATCTGGGCCCGGCCCGCAGCTCCCCAGAACGCAGGAGCGCAGGTTCCTCCCTGTCAGATGGAGGAGAGAAGAAACTGGCCGCGAAATCAGCGTTCATTTTAAATGGAGGGGGGCGGGGGCGGGGAGGATCCTGGGGCGATTTCCCCGGGGGGTGTAAATACAGAGGCTACGGAGGCGTTGGTTCTGGAGGGAGAATTAGTAGCAGGTTTGCGAGCCCAACGCATCTCGTGTACCTAGATATTAACCTTTCCCCCAGCTAGACAAAGTCTGTGTATAAGTGTCTCTAAAAAGATCTGTACGTTATCAAGAGTGGTGACTTGACGTTTACGGGATCCCCGCAAGTTGGCATGAGGATGAGCCTACACGGGATTGCACACAAAATGTGCTTTCTTCCCATTTGAGTATTTTTACCAGGGGAGCAGATTTTCTGGTAGATAGGATTTTGAAGAGGAGATAAGGCAGATTTCCCATTTTGGCAATGGAAGAATGTTCCCCATATTTGGATTTGCTTCACTTCTCGGACATAAACTTCGCCAAGCTAACGTGAAAGTTGGTGATGGTGGAGGTGGACAGCGGATTAAACGAATTACTGTTAAAGTGGCCGCAGTGGCTAGATAAGACTTCTGCCCCTTTCGATTTCTGGACCCTGATTTACTAGTGGAGCGAGGATTTTCCCCGAAGAGGTGACTGATTAGAATAACTGAAAAATCTGCTGCGATATTTGGTCCAGTACTGAGCTCAGTGTAGGTCCAAGATGGCATATTTACCATTTCTCTCAGGGGCTGTTGTATACTCATGACTTCTTTATGTGTGTGATCACAAATGCTACTTCTGATCCCACAGACTGCTTATCTGACATTCTTCCTGCATTGAGAACTTTTAATATAAAATAAATCTTAGAGCTATAAGGACTTAAGACTTTAAACTCTCATTTAATAAACAGGAGAAGACAGACATTCCATCAAGATTAAGTCACTTGCACAATCTCATGTAATTAGGTAGCCTAAAAACCAGGACTCAGGGATCCAATCTAGGTTGTTTTCCACTATCCAATCCTTTATTCCCAAATAACCAGTATTATGTTCAATTTCCAAAATAAAAATCCTTTTAAAATTATATTTCAGTGGTTTGAGCTCTCACTCCAAGTGATGAATTCATCTTAGTAGTTTTGGAACAGACCTTCCTTATGGTTTGTACTTCAAGACTAAGGACATTGAAAAGGTAAATTAATTTTGGTTTTAAAAAATTATGTGGCTCTTAAAACCTGTGACCCTACGTTTTAAGAATTAGAATTTATAAAAGATTACTGAAATGAGACAAACATGTTCTTTCTTGATACACAGGAGCTAGAATTGATCCCATATGTTGTCAGTCATGACAGTCAGTAATCAGATCATTGATGAGATAGCTGAGCTTCTTCTCAGTGCCACTGATATAATTTCCAAAAAGTCACTAAGCAGTGCTATGGAAGTGAACTAACTTCTGATTCTTTCTTTCTTTTTTTGCAGGGGGAAATTGCATAGCTCACCTAGAGCCAGCTTGACAGCGTCATTTTTAGGAATCAAGAAATCAAGAATCAATATTGGGTTATTTCTTAAGATTAAGCCTTGAAAGTCCACTTCGACATGGCAACCATGAGCACACTTAAACATGAAAATGATCTTCCCTCAAGGAGATCACTCTCTTCAACTACATCATCGGAAGTGGTTCCAAGAAGAAGAGACCCCCTATCTGACCAAACTCAGCCAGACAAATTAAATCAGTCTTTTTGAGCAAGGAGTAAAGCTATACAAGAGTGGCCTGATCACCCCTTTCTGCTTGCATCACCACCGAGCAGCCCCCTCTAGGATGGCCACCTATTGTGCCTTGTACAAGGGCACCTGGCTGGGACAGCCAGTGAGAGCTGGAATCCTGCCAGGCTCCACTCACCAAGCCGGGTTTATGGGTGTGTGATTGTGTCTACTCAGACTGTGTGGCTTTTCTAAGTTGTACCAAGGCACCCTGTATGGGCGAGGGGCAGTTCTGACCATCCCAGTACCATATCCCAGTTCTACCCAGGATTCCTGACCTCAGATGGAATGACGATTCTCATGAGCAGATTAGGTTTGTTGTAAAAGATGAAATATTTGACCCAAATTGAAATTAATTTCATAGATAAAGCTCAAAATTTTACTATGGATATGAATTATGTTTGTATGTATTTATATATGTATATATAGTTACGTGGCTACACATTTCTATGTATCAAATTAGCACAACTTAAACTTAGTAAATGGTGAAAATAAAACTATTTTGGGTATCGGAATCACTTTTATATATGAATTTCTGGTCTTGACAGAAATACATACTATTACCTTTCAACAAAGAATGTATTAAGTGCCAGGCACTGTGCCGAGCAATGTGTATACAGTAATGAAAAATAATACACTCTGCTTCCAGTAGTTTATTATCTAGCAAGGAGGACAAATGATAAGGTCACAGAATAATTTATGATTTTATCAATTGTGCTAAGGCCTGTAAGAGACATGCCAAGATGGAGAATAACAAGGCACACTTATTTCAGATGAAGTGACTGGAAAAAGTCTGTGAAAATGACATTTCAATTTGAGACCTGAGGTGAGTTGGAACGAGTTTATGGTGTAACTCCACCCTATTACAGTATAGGAGCATTTGAATTCAGAATAGAATATGAGACATTTAAGGGAAAGCACAGAATAAAGAGGTAAATAAGGAGAGAGGTTAAATTCATAGTGGAGTTTATAAACTCTAGGTAACTAATGAAGTCATATTCATGTATTTGTCATTTCCTTTTGCAAGTACCTAATCCTCATTGATCTTTGTCTCTTTCTTTAAATCCTGGGTTTTTACTCAACTTCTAGGGATTATTGTAGTTTGAATGGACATGGTAATGGCCATTGTTGTCTTACCTAACCAGCACTTAGGTGTTATGTTTTTGTTTTCACTTGTGCATTGTTGGTAACTGTCGAGACTTTTTCATTCATGGGAGTTAAATACTCATGAGATTTTAAACTCTATGAGGGTAGGAATTACATTTCCTTCTTGTTTGGCTCCCCCAGCAAGGAGTCTTAATCATACAGTGTCATACATTTCATACACCTCATCCCACTCATACAGTGTCATACACCAGCCTCATCATGCAATGACCAGTCTCTTCATAAATTCTGCTGACTGACCAGTCTTGCTCAACTAATACCTTTAAAGGTTTAAAATGGAAGAAATACTTGCCTTATAAAAAAAACCTAAATTGTTTTTTTTTTTTTTAAGATTTTATTTATTTATTTGACACACAGAGAGATAGAGAATACTAGCAGGGGGAGCAGCAGTAGAGGGAGAAACAGGCTCCCCGCAGAGCAGGGAGCCCAATGCGGGACTCGATCCCAAGACCCTGGGATCATGACCTGAGCTGAAGGCAGATGCTTAACCAACTGAGCCACCCAGGCGTCCCCAAAAAATCTAAATTGTTAAACAGAAGGGAACACACAACTTAAAGTGCACCGTCATGAAGGAATTTCAGGACATGCTGCTACAAAGTGTGGCCCCATGGAGGAAAGGCAGCCAATAAAGCCAAAGAATAATCACACATCTTTTTAAAAATTAAAGATTCATTATAGTTCAAGCACACTGACGCGGTGGTAGGGCTGCTGGTAAGGGTTTTTCTACAGTTACTCAGTCTTCCTTTCAAAAGTTGGCACAGCAGTGCACAATGATTCTCTCACGGAGCTTGCATGCTACTGGAGAAGGCAGTAGATAACAAATGGATATAAAATATGCCAGGAGGGCATGCGTGCTGTAGAGGAAAGGGATTATGCGGAACGAGAAGGCAGGAATTATGAGAAATAATACTTTTGTATACATTGTCAGGAAAGATGTCTCCAGAGGTATGGGCAGAGACTTGAAGTAGTGAGCCACATGCATGCAGACGTCTACAGGCATAAGGAACAGCAAGTCAAAGGCCACGAAGCCAGCATGCTTGGTATGTCTAAGGATTAGCAAAGAGACCAGCGTGGCTGGAACAGAGTGGGTGACAGAGGAAATGACAAGAAATGTAGCCAGAGAAGTAGCCAGGGGCAGGGCACAGATTGCCTAGGATTTTGTAAACTAGGTTTCAGATTGGCTTCCACGTGATAATGAATATCGCCTGGGGTTCTTACCAGAAG